CCTTTAACTCCGGGTGTCAGGTACCTTGTCTCAGTAACAAAAAAAAAAAAAAAAAACTAAGACATTCTGGCAATAAGATGTAAGGTGTAAGCAAGAGTACAAGTAGAAGAGTATGTTAGCAATAATTACCTGTCAAGGGGACATAGCTCAAATGTGGATTCACGGGGAATTCTAAAAATAATCTTAAAATTAATTTTAAGCATTGACATATGGATCCAGTCTCCATATAACTGTCATCTGAAAGTTCTGCCAGTCTCATTACAAGCAAAGAAAACTTTCAGTTCACATTCCTAGCTGTTAGAATTCACCACATGTGCTCCCACCCAACAAGGGCAACGGATTTTTGTGAACACGAAAGGAAAGATTACATTGAGGAGAAAGTGGTGAAACAAACTGATAACAAACTACCTTGTTTTAGGAACTCTATCATGTCATTTACTCTAAGGGTGACACTTTCATTTTGATTATTTATGATAATATTTGATGGTAGACTCATATGTCATACTATTGTCTCATTAAAAATAATAAAATATAAGCAATGCTTTAGTATCCAGTTAGTGTTTGCAAAAAATATAAAAAGTCAATGATTTGCAAATGAATGAGTTAAAAGAATGGAAAATGAGATACTAAAGAAATGCTAAACAATTGGACTCAACCTGAACTATGGAAGACATTTTGGCTGGAGGTAATTTCTTGATTATTCCATGATGATCACATTTTCATTTATCTTATAGAAATATCTTAGCAGTCAGACACAGGAAAACACTGATACATTCTAGTCCTGAGCTCATGCTAAGTCGATGAAACGACAACTACCAAATAAATCATAAGTGAAATGTCTTAAACTCATCTGACAAGCTTTGTAAGCTTGTCAAATGTATAAGTAAGTAACCAAATATGTTAAAGGCAAGGAAAGTTACCAGTTTGATGCTTGAGCTTGCATAATTTAATTATCTACTTTTATTTTACTTCAAACTTTTAAGTGTTAACAACACTCAGAAATGGAGGGGAAATTTGTATAGTCTTTTCAGAGGCCAATTTTACAGTAGGTATCAAAACTGTACTTTAATTTATGCATTGACACAGCACTTCAGATATCTGGAGACATAATAGCACCTGTGAGCAGAGACCGTTACAGTGATTGCTATGGTTTGCTAAGTAAAGGCTTGGTCTCCAGCCTGTGGCACTACTTGGAAGTGTGGGCTCCTACCCAGGGAGGAACTAATGAAAAGGAGTCAGGTCATTAGCAGCAGGTCCTTGGAGGAAACACGGAACCCTGAACCCTTCCTCTTCCTCTTTTGCTTTCTGGTCACCATGAAGTAAGCAGTTTTGCTCTAATGTATGCTCCCACCAGATGTTCTGCCTCAGCACTGCCCAAAAGCAATGGGACCAAGCAACCAGGAACCGAAACTTCTAAAACCATGAGCCTTGTAAGTTGTTCTCAGGTATTTTGGCACAAAGATAGCTGACTCACAACGTAATTTTAAAAAATAACCTAAAAAACCTTGATAGAGGAATGATTAAATAAATCTAGGTGAATCTATATTATAGAATCAACATACTTTTAAAATAATAAACTAAAATGAAAACCAACAGGAAAAAATCTTCAGAGCATGCTTAAATTGAAAATAATACACACACACATATATGTGGTAGGATTCAGTTCTAAAAAAAAATGAACAAAACTACAGGCTAAACTCAATTATGCATAAAAATTCTTAAAGGATAGTGATCAGCTGGAACAGGATGAAGCTTGTGCAAATGACAATGAAATTTCCTCTTTTCCTGAGAGACTTCTTCATTGGTCTGGTTTTGCTGCAAGCCATATATTCATGCATTATTCCTGTAATTTTTTAAAAACCGAAAAAAATTTTAAAACACAGAAACATCTCTCTGAAGAGAAGCGTAAAAGATTCACAAACTTAATAAAACATGTAAAGACACATATATACTCCTAAAATGGCCACATCCTCCCTACTGGTCCTTGGGAAATACTGCCCTTGGAATCCCGCCTGCCTATGTGACTATCGTATTTCAGAATTTATGAAGAAATTACGGGGCACAGTACACTGCCAGAGATTCCATCCATCCCAAGAGAAACGGGAAGATCACAGCTTACCATCATCAGCAGGTGAATGTGTTCTACTAACACACCTAATGGATTATTTCAGAGGTAAAAGAGAGATTAGCACCCATCCACTTGAGGTGCCCTCACCAAAACATGCCTGATACAGTTTAGTTTATAAATTGTTTGGATTTTAAAGAATTAAATTGACATAAAGATAATCAAGGTGGAGTTCATCAAACTAAGCACCTTGAAGTAGCAACACATTAATTTATTAATTGTTGTGCTTCCAAATACGTACTTCCTAACCTCAATTATATGTAAAAACTAAATGTTGGCAAAGCTGGGACTCTTAAAAAATAGTACTCTGGAAGGCAGAAAAGTAATAAAACATAATATGTCTCTAATAAAATAGAAAACTAATCTATAAAGAATGTAGAAAAATTTTAACCCAGTTGAAATTGGGTAAGCATAAGCCCTTAGCAAATTCTATAACTGGGTTTCATTTCCAGAGGATTCTTCCCAATCTGGAACCCTTGTAGCTGAAGGATGTAAGGTAAAAGAGTCACAAAATGCCCATTTCTCTGGCTCTTTCACTAGAAGATCCAACCCTGTTACCTTAATGGTTTTTTTAGTATTTCCTGAAAAGAGGTGGGGTGACCCAAATCATCTCAAGCTAGGATTTACCCAGCTTTACCACTGAAAATCCCATAACCAAGGAATGCTGAGTCCTAGGCAATTCAGGATACTTAGCAATTCCCAGGCTCACACTCCAGCCAAAGCAAGGAAAACTGCCTGGCCCCTTGGTAACCTCAGTGCAGCCAGGAGAAGCCCGTGGCTGGGCTGGGTGTGGTCAGCCCCCATCCCACGCTACAGAGGGGGAGGAAAAATTGGAGATGGTCTCACAGAGGGCTCAAGAACTTCCTGAGAAATTTTCTGTATCTTGTTGGGAGCAGTGCTTACAATATTATAATAAATACAAGACCTAAATGCAAACAGTATGTATTTGTCTAGCAGTAGACTTAAAATGCATTCACTTATTATACATACACTTCACCTTTAAAGAGCTGATTTTAACTAAAAACATTTTAACCAAAAAGGTGCCTCCCCTACATGTTTACTGAGGTGCTATTCAAAGTAGGGAAGATACAGAATCAGCTACGTGGCCAGAAACAGATGAAGGGACACAGAAAATGTAGTGCATACACACAACGGGTGACTTTTCAGTCATACAGAAGGAAATCCTATCCTTTGCTGCAAGGCTGGTAGAAACAGAGATCTTTATGTTCAATGTAACAAGCCAGGCACAGAAAGATAAGTACTACAAGATCACTGTCATACGTGGACTAGGAAAAAAAAGCTGCTCTCACAGAAGCTGGGAGTGGGATGGCAGTTATCCGAGGCAGGGAAAATAGATGGAGGGAGAGAGAGGGAAAGAGAAATCGGCAGCTGAGTCAGTGAAGAATAAGGAGCTAGAGCTTTTCAAATGGGATGGCTACAGATAATGAAAATGTACTATACACTGCAAAAAGCTAGGAGACAGGGTTTTGAATGCTTTCACCATCCAGAAATGACAAATGAGGAAACAGGTTTAACTTAAACACTAATATGATTTAAACAATCTGACTGTGAACACAATGTCTATAGGCACTGAAATATGCTATTCCCATTCCTAGGTACAATTTTGTTTTTTAATATTATCAATTAAAAATACAATTTAATTTCTTTCAAAAAAAAAGTGTTGGGTTTTAGAAAGAGGAGTGAGATGGTCCATCACTCAAATGATACAGGACAGTCTGGAGCAGCATCTTCAGGGATGCTGTGGGCAGGATTCCTGAGTAAGGCAGTGGCGTGGGCAGATGAAAGCTATAGTCACTTTCAACCTGACTTTTATAGAATTCAAAGGACAGCAGCACATTACGCAATTCCTCATCCAAAATCGATCCAAAATGCACCCTGAATCTGTGCAGTGCTCCAACAAGGGAAAGCTTACAGAATCCTTCTCTGGAAATATCTCTGGAAAAGCACAGTTAACGCCCTGTCTTGCTTTTTTGTCATTGTTGCATCTAAGAACTCATAAAAAGACTAGCACAGCACAGACACAAGAGGGGAGGGGCACGGCCACCACTGTGTCTAACACCCCACAGGCAGCTTCTAAAACAGAGATCATCCCACCTGCGGGAACTCACCCAAACAAACGCTAAGGGGTTTGGTGCGGGAGGTGGTCTCTGCTCTGATCTTGACACTTTCTCTGACATGTTGGGGCTGAGGATTTAGCTCAGTGGCATAAGCACCTGCCTGCAAGCAGGCAGTCATGAGTTCGATCCCCGGTACCAATAAAAATGAAAAAGACAAAAAAAAAAAAAAAAAATAGACTCTGAATGTTGGCTAATTACTAGGATAAAGGTATGGACTCAAGATAGAAGGACAAAAGTACCCAGTAGGGGACCAGAGAATTCTAACATGTCCTCCAGTGAATCAAAAGGCACCTCCTTAGGGAAACGATCCTTAAACGTTTGATTTTCAGAGCGTTAGCTTCTCTGATCCAAGGACACCATCACATTTCATTCTCTGCCTCTTCTGTGATCCTAACTCCCCAGAGGCTGGGTGGTCTGGGAGGCTGGAAATGGCAGAATCCGCTGTGTTGCTAAGCAGGAAAGAGAACTTAGGGCGCCCAGGGGAGAGGTTTGCGGCCTGCTGCGGGGACTGTGGGAGAGGAAAGGAGTCCGACCTTCCAGCAGCACATTGGGAACCTTTTATGAACTTGTTCTGAAAACTTCTCAAGTAAAAATGCCTGATACATATTTGGCAGGGAGGAGACCCATGAGCCTTTGGGTGTGTGCGCGCACATACACTTCCTCTCCGCAGGTTCCCGTAGCCAACAAAGCAGCTCTTTGCACTGAACCCATCGAGCCAAACATCTTCCCAGATGGAGATGGGAAGTTATTGGACTGACTCTTCAATCGAACGGAAGAGATCTTGGCCCAGTAAAGCACCAGAGCCGCCTCCCCTCTGCAATCCCAGAGCCGGCTGGCACGCAGGCCTGGGCCAGACCCCAAGCTGGCCACGCAGCATGGGTTTCCACGGTAACGTCCACGGGTCCCCTCGGTCTAATAATACAGCGGGCAGCGCCGGGTGTGACGGGCTGGGCCATGCAGATGCCAGACCTTGAAAACGAATCCTCCCCGAGTAGCTCGGAGCTAGCGGCTAGGAAAGCTAACTGCACCATGGAGATCTCACGCAGTCTGCATGAAAGGAATGAGCGGATTAGAGCTGCTGAGTGACGTTATGTGAAAAGCACCACATTTGCTGATCCAAGGTAAGAAAATTAAGGCAGAATAACAAAACCAGGATAGAGGCATGAGGCAGGGAAATGTTCAGCAGTTTTCATCTACAGCACCCTGGGACGAGGCCGAGGTAAAGCAGGGAGCTACAGCTGCAGGTTTCTATTCATCTGTTCCCTAGCAGATAGGCTGAAAGGATGTTCCCGTTGAACTGTACTGAATAGCTTTACAGCCAAAGAAAAACTGCGTTAGCATGATTACTTAGGAAGAAAATAGAATCTGGTTGGGGGGGGGGGCGTGTTGTTGTGGTTTTTTGTTTTTGTTTTTGTTTTTTGTTTGTTTGTTTTGTTTTGAGACAGGGTCTCTCTATGCAGTTCTGGCTGGCCTTGAACTCACTTTGTGGCTCAACCTTCTCTCAAACTCGCAAAGAACCTCCTGCTTCAGCCACCCAAGCACTGGTATTACAGGCGTGCGCCACCACGCCCGGCTCAGAATCTGTGTTTCTAAAAGGAAAAAAAAAAATCTTCACTGTGGATTTGAAGTAACAACACGGCCAAACTAAAGCTGAGTAACGACCCCATCCCGGCTTAGGGCAGGCTGGAAAAGAGGCTCTGGGACTGTCTGCCGCTGGGCGGCAGCAGAGAGCTCTGAAACGCAAAGGCCTGGGCGCTCTCGCCCAACTGCCCGGCGGCTCACACCTCTGGCCAGCAGCTGGGTGCGTTTTCCCTGCAGACAGACATCGAGACACTGAGCGAGGGTCACATCTCCCAAGCACACCATGCAGACACCACCGCGCCTTCAGCACAGCACACAGATCGAATCACGGCACACTGTGCTTAAAACCCAGCCTTCCAGAACCCGCGTGCGCCCTCTGCAGTGCGGAGACCTGGGAAGGCAAAATCCTCCACATCCCCCAAACGCTGCTCCTTCCAAATCAGCATTACCAACTTAAGTATTGTGGACGGGTCTCCAATCTTATCATCCACATTAGACACAGGGCCAAGGAAAACAAAAGGCAAGCACTGAGAATTAAGGGTAAGTCAAGGCTGACTGGGGGTCAAAAACCCCCAAACTGGTATTCAGTAAAGACTGGGCAACTTGAACTGGACCTTGAGCCATCTGATCCACACCTCAGCTACTTCAGAGTCACGCAAGAAAGCAAGAATCTGAAGATACCAGCCGCTCTGTCCCAGGCCTCGGCCTCACCGCAGGAGCACAGTCTGGGATTTGAGCTCAGGAAGCCTGGCGAATGTGTGATCCTCCTCTACTTCAGCCTCCCAATGTTACAGCATTACAGGTGCATACCATCTTGCCCCCTTATATAGATATAGATATAGAATTTTTTTTTGGTGCTTTTGAAGCAGGGCCTCACTATACGATTCAGGCTGGCCTTAGTTCACTTTGTAACACAGGCTGGTCTCGAACTTGCCACAATCTGCCTCCCAAGTGCTGGGATTTCAGGAGTGTGCCACCATGCCCAGCTTTATATTTCTTTTTCAAAACCAAAATGTTGGCAGTATAGTACTGAATACTGTGCCCCTCCCCCATTCATGGTTAAGCCATTGGGCAATGCTTCTTGTGGGTAAGGATCTATCAGATGTCATTAGGCTTAGACAGGGTCATGAAGGTAGAATCCTCAGGATGTGATTGGTGTCCTTGCAAGCAAATGAGACATGAGAGCTCTCGATCTTTCTACTGCACGAGGTCACACCAGGAACACAGGCCAGGAAGGGGCCCCTCAGCAGAGGTGGGATCTGTAGCTACACTGGCACTGGCATTCCCAGCTTCTAGAACAGGGAGACAAGTACTTGTTATTTATGCAGCCCACCCAGTCTATGGTAATTTGTTACAGTAGCCCAAGCTGACTAAGATCCACTCATATGTTGAAAACTATTAAATGTCTCCCTTCTCTTCCACCATCTCTATCCCTCTCTGGTTACTCTAGCAAAGATCCTTACTGAACCAAGTAAGTCAGAATTTAAGTGACTAATGCAGCAGTGATGCCATGCAAAGGTATCAGTACACTCTGCCATAATGCTATATTGGAAAAAATCTGTTTCCAATACATAAACATAATTGCTACCATACGTACATCTCATCCTCTAAAATGAACTCAATAAGTGTTGGAGGTATGCTCCATGGCAGAACAATTGATTAGCATGTGCAAGGCTGTAAATTCAATCCCTAGTAATGTCAAAAAAAAAAAAAAGGATTAAATAAAATGGACTAAATAGAAGAATATGATATAAGGATAAACTCAATTCTTACGTATTGTTTTATAAGTATCTGTGTTAGCTTTCTACTACTACAACAAACACCTGAGATCATCAACCTACAAAGAGAAAGGCTGACTTGGGCTTACAGTTTTAGAGGCTTCAGTCCATGGCTGGGGGGCCATGTTGCTTTGGGCATGTTGCAGCACCTCATGGTGGGAGCATACAACACAGCAAAACCATTGACCTCATGGCTGGGAAGCAAAGGAAACGCAAGGCAAAGAGCTTGGGTTCCCTTTGCAGGGCACATCATGAAATGACCTAGAGACCCCCCACACACACTATTACCTATCCCTTGGAGACTCGACCACCTCCACAGGGCCACAATAGGGACCAAATATGTGGGCCTCCGTGGGGGCCCCCAAGACCACACTATAGCAGTCGCTTCCCTTCAGGGGTTATAAACTCTAGAGTTATTAACCAAAATCTAACAGTCTAATCTCCTTTGACTTGACTAAACTTTTCTTTCTTCTCTTTACAAACACTAAATTGTTTCCTTCTATTTCTAACAATTCCTCACAGCTGAGTCAGTCACCGGTACTGAACTCGGTGCCTGGTTCAGGGTGCTTAGCATGTTTCAGTCTCCCAGTAAAGTACTAGTTATCTCTCTCCTCGTCCCCAAACCCCAGTAAAGCCACCACACATGGGAAAAAATAAAAAAAGAGAACACAGAACTACAGAGAAGAGATTCAGGCGAGAGATTTCACTGTGTTTTTTAAATGATGGAGCAGGCAGATCCACAGGCGGAAAGTACCCTGAAGCAGAGGAGGTGAATGCACCCCAGGAAGCCTGGACAAGTGGAGGACCAGGCAGTGACGGGACCACGAAGGCAGGGGTGGCGTGATAAAGGGTTAGGTTAATAAAAAATCCAGCTGCAGAACCAAGTGCCCATGACCACAGCCTGTGACCGACGCACCTCCCAGCCAGGAGACAGTTACTCCGCAGGGTCCTGGAACCAGTCTCCTTATTCGGTTAAATCAGGTACAGTCTGAGGCAGGCTGAGATACAAAACTATAAACAGAAGGCTCAAGAGAAGAAGAAGCCTCAGGAACTTTCCCCCACCAGTCCCCAGCATGTGTGACACAGACACTTCCCTTGGGAAACAGCGCCACAGAGAAATACCCACAGGAACTGTACCAACATCAGTCTCCTGCGTGGAGAGCAGACACAGTCAGCTTCTCCCAAAACCCATTAGAGAGAATGCAGGGAAAAATTTAAGTACTAGAATTGATTTTACCAAAGAGCCGTTGCTTTATTACATCCACAAAACAAAAATACAAGAAATTAAAGAAGTTAAAAGCAATATAGGAGCGTGGTGGTGATACCCTGTAATTCAAGAACTCTGGAAGGCCGAGGGAAAAAAGAAAATTCCAAGTTTCAGCCCAGCCTGGGCAACTCAGTAACTAATAAAAAATTTAATATAAAGGCCTAGGGATACATAACTCAGTGCAAGGGCCTTGGGTTTCAATCTCTAGTTCTGAGAAAATAAAAATAAAAAAGGCAGTATAGGAAAAATAAAAATCTAGAAAGCACAATAAAATGACAAAGTGATAGAAAAGAGGAAAAAATTTAAAAATGTAGGGAACTAACCAAGAGCTCAAATCCACTTGATAATTTCAAAAATATGTATCTGGGGCTAGGGATTTAGCTCAGTGGCACAGCGCCTGCCTGACAAGTGTGAGGTCCTGAGTTCAATTCCCCATCTCTACCCCCATACGTACCCTAAGAAGACATGACTAAGCACACACCAGTAGATACATATTCAGGGCTGAATTACACAGCCACCAGACTAAAGGATTTACTAAATGCCATGGAAGGAAAAGACTCAAAAGAGGCTGTGTATCTTAATCGCTGTCTCATCCGGGGACATGATAGCTGACACCCACAACTAAAAGGAGAAGTTCGTTTTGGTTCACAGTTTAGGAGTTTCAGTCCTTCCATGCTGCCTGGTTTCAGGCAGAAGTGGCCCGGTGGGAGGGTCTGAGTGGAGGAGAGGTGCCCACCTCAGGTGGTGGACAGGAAACAGAGACAGGGTCATAGGAAGGGACAGGAAGGGAGATACACCCTTTTGTGTCGTGTAACCTGCTCTCCTAATATAAAGTCAGTCCCTAAGCTTCTATAATACCGTCAGTTGCCACACATATGAGGTTTTGTGGGCCATTTTAGAGCTCAATCACATCACCAGCCAGGGTGGGTGGTAGGCCTATAACACCACCACTCACCGGGAGGCTGAGGCTGGAGGATCACCATGAGTTCAAGGGCAGCCTCCGATACATGTGAGCATGAGGCCAGCCTGAACTGTATGTTGAGACCCTGTCTCAAAAAAAAAAAACAAAAATAAATAGGCAAAAAGTAACATCATGTCAGCATGAATTTTTAGGAAACTGGTTATTTAGAAAGGGATAAGAAGCAGAATACTACCAGGTACAGAAAGCAATGAACTGAAATAAAGATTAATTTAATTCCGGATACCAGTGTTCTTTAGTTAGTATATACGGTGCCTTTCCTTCAACACAGACAGCAGGTCGACCCCAAATGCACAACCCCATGTACCTTACTGTCGGTGTCGCTCCCGGCCGGCAGGAAGAACACACGACAAGATCTGGCAGTGGCTGGGCTTTCTTTATTTTCCCTCTCCGTACAGTCTGCCCCGGGATTCTTCCCGGCCGAAGCCTCTACCGGTCCGCTCCCCGCGGCTCCTTTCGTGCTTCTTTCTCTACAGTCTGTCCCGAAGCCTCTACCGGTCCGCTCCCCGCGGCTCCTTCCGTGCTTCTTTTCTACAGTCTGTCCCGAAGCCTCTACCGGTCTGCTCTCCGCGGCTCCTTTCGTGCTTCTTTTCTACAGTCTGTCCCGAAGCCTCTACCGGTCCGCTCTCCGCGGCTCCTTCCGTGCTTCTTCTCTCGTGGCGGGAGAGGCACTCACTTTTATAGGGTTACAGTGGCCAATCAGTTCAAAGCGCGCGATGCGGGCTGATTGGCTAACATCAGTTGTTGCTAGGCAGACTATCTTACAGAGCGGGTTGTTTACCAAGCAGGAAGCAGGAGATAAGCACCATCTTAGCACACTCGATGGGAGGGGTAATCTAGCTCAGGCTTTGCTCTTTCTTACAGGCCTCACGTCCGCCAAGTAAGGCGACCGGGCTCGGCCGCGGCTCCCAACACCTTACCTAAAGTGGCCTGTGTGATTTACTCACCTGAAGTTCACTTATAAATAAAATGCAATCAAAACGACATTGCACATCTAGAAGACTGCAGCAAAACCTTGACGACCCAAGGAAAACAATGTCTGATTCCAAACTTCCCTTCCACCCTTCTGAGGAAATGATTAGAAGACCAGCTATCATTACTCACAGGGAGTAAATCAAAGCAGGAGAAGATGTGAGGCTGAGGGTATGGGGGATCCATCACAAAACAGAATAAGCGCAAGACAGAAATTCCTCAGGATGGTGAAGCTCCAGGGCTCATCATGGCCACAGAGTAATACATTGAGTTTAAAGAAGGGGGACTTTAATGAGGAGTTCTGAGCACCACTCACCCCTTGGGGTAAAATAAAATTGGTAGGTGAGCACGTTAGACTATTAATTGTAACTACTTTATCTAAAATATATTTATAAGTGTGACCTATCTGATAGAGCACTGAAATAATTAGTAAAAATCTCAGAAGTTTTTTAAAATGATTAACTTTAGATAAAATATATAAAAATGGAAATGCAATCGTGTACCAAGTAATATTTTCATAGTAATAATAATGTAAATGACACTGGTGAGGTGATATGTTTATGAAACATTATATGTATGTACTTTAAACACTTATTTAAAGTGATGGGAGGAGCAGGATATATCCAGGAATAGTCAAACACAAACAAGAGGGAGCTGATGGTTATTGAAACTGAGTGAAGAATGTAATGACATTTATCATCCCATCTGTTCTTGTTTGTATATGAAAATTGTCGTGAAAAGTTGAGATTATAACCATTTATATCGTAATCAAGGATTTCAGATGTAATATAATTTGTCTATGTTAATTAGAGGACTGCAGAAATACATGCGGCTGAGGAAATTTATTAAAAATAAACAACTATTTGCCTTAAGAAATAAATGTATGGGGCCAGGGAAACTCAGCCACACAAGCACCTACCTGGCAAGCACAAGGCCCCGAGTTCAATTCATAGTATCAAAAATAAAAAAATAATTCAAGGCCAGCCTAGGCTACTGGGTGAGTTCAAGGCCAGCCTGCATCACACAGCAAGACCCTGTCTCAAGATAGCAAAGAAACAAAAAGGAATAAAAGTATGGACACATTTAGAAATATGAACATAAATTCCAGAAGAAAATGAACTGCTTTTTAAATTTAAAGCTATTTTTTTCAGTATCACTTTGGTGAAACTAAACTGATACAATTTTTTGTCTTTTCAAGATATTTTTGTTGCTGGGGATTTAGCTCAGCAGCATAAGCGCCTACCTTGCTAGCAAGCAGTTATGAGTTCGATCCCTGGTACCGATAAAAAAAGAAAAAAAATTGTAAAAAAAAGAGATATTTTTGTTATGGTAACAACTTTAACAACCTTTTTCCTCCGTCTAACAAAATAAGTTCTAAGGAGCGACAGTGGAGCATCTGAAAAGCATCCCTGGAAAGGGCAGAGCTCAGCCACCCGCTCCATCACGATGTTTCATTACGCACAGCGCCCTCTAGTGCCACCTCATGGGAAACCATCTTGAATATTGTATACCAGAAATTTTTTAAATTTTACTTTAGTTAGTACATGTATTTAGTACCTAATATTTACACTTCTCGTCTGCAGTAGGCATGTGTACTTAACACACTCTGATTCTTTTTGTTCATCCCCTATCCTTCCCCTTCCATTTCTCAATCCCCTTTGAGAATGACCTCTGTCTCTACTTCCTATTACTTTTATTTTTCTCTTTATTTTTACCATGTGTTTCTCATGCAAGAAAAACCACCCTGTAATTTAAGCCTGCATATGCTAGAAATTTACTCACTCACATCTTCAAGTACCATGTTTTCCCTTATTTTTGTTTTGGCTGTTTTTGTCTTTTTGAGACAGACTTTCTAAATATGCAGCTCAGGCTGACCTTGAACTCACTTTGGCTGGCCTGGAACCCACAGAGATCCTCTGCCTCCCAAATACTGACCTTAATGGCCTGTGCCACTGCCACGCCCAGTTCTAGCTTCTTTTTGGGTCATCTTTGTCCCTGTGTGGCCAGGCTCCTACAGGAATCCAGGAATCCAGGCGGGAACCATTAGTTTCACAGTTTCATAGCTCAGTGATGAACTCAGATGGTTTGGTAAGTGACCTAATTAGTGATTAAATAATAGTGAAATGTGTCCCAAGGCCCAAACACATGGGTCTTCAGGTGAGAAAAAGGACTTTTGGTCCTCAGCTCCTTGAGAGTAGCTGCTTCCAGCACTAAATACAGTGCCGGATGGACATCCACCACAACAGGGCACTCAGCGGACAAGCCAGGCTGGCCGTCCGGTCTCATCCAGTTCTCTGTGGGCAACCGGAAGTGCTCTTCCTATAAGACAGTGACAGTTCTTATGTACAGCTTCTCTAACCAAATTATCAAATGAATACAGACACGGACACACAGCTGGACATCACCTAAGTCATTCTGGGGGGGAAGGCAAAGTAAATGAGAAAAGACCCACCTTAAGGCCTCCCACTGTCTCCCAAAAGGGAAAAAAGCACAAAAAAACCCAAACATGGTAACAGCCACCGTCTTTTCACCACTCTCTCTTTGCAATGAGAAGAATGTATTCCTTTAATCAGTACTGGGTAAAGTCACAGGTGTCCCTCCCGAGAGGCTGGGCACTCAGTTCCAGGACATTTTCTTCTGCTGTAAGGTGAAGCAAGCACCTGGCTGCCACTGACCAGCTCTTTGGTTTCTCAGTGGTCGCTGTGCGGCTCCAAGGCTGCAGACCTCCCCTCTAGCTTAACTAATCACAAGGGCGGGATGGTCAGTGCCCTCTGCAAGAGTGGATGGCTGTCCCACCCCAAACTCTTTCCTTAGACAAGCTCACAAAAGCTTTCCTTCTCGGTAGCTGTATAATAAGCTCCAAAGTCAGTCTAACATTGGCTCTTCCTCTGTGAGCAGAGATCCTAGTCCCCCACATTGGTATCCCCTTAGGCCAAGAAAACCTCACAATAAAAACTGAGTACAAGTCTGACAACTTTGGACCTCAGAGGCACGCCACAGAGAACATGGGCATTTCAAACTCTGAGTCCTGGCTGGCAGTGATTACAAACCATCAACCTGAAACAGTGGTTCAGTGTCTCAAAAACCAATAAATACATGAACAGGGATAACAAATTCTAGTAGTTTTTTCCTAGTGCTGGACATCCAAACCAAGGCCTCAAGCGTATCAAGCATGCTAAGGAAACACTCTACCACTGAGCTGTGTATTCCCAGCCCCTGGCATATAATTCCAAACCTACCAACTGACACATAGTTTAAAGAGGTCTATTTGCCTTCAGGCATAGGAAAACACACACTACTTGACTGACATGGTAAAAAGAGAGTACTTATCTATAGGCACAATAAGTGAAAAGCAGCCACTGTCAAGATCTTTTTATAAATCACCAGCAAGGGGCTGGGAGTTTAGCTCAGCAGTGTAAGTGCCTGCTTCGCAAATGTGAGGTCGTGAGTTTGATCCCCCCCCCAAAAAAAATCACTAGCAAATAAGAAAAAGAGCATGAGCTTTTGAACCAAAGGAGTTAAGAGTTAAAAATGTAGTTTAGCCACCTGACTGTGATTTGAAACATATTACTGTAACTCAGCACAGCACCCTCATCTTTCAAATGAGGAAAATACCAACCTCACCAGATTATTCTGCACAGAGGAACCTGATTTACTAACCTCAGAGACAGAGGTCTGCACTCCTGCAGCTCTCTGCTGCCCCCTCTTGTCAGGTTTCTGCTTTTACAACAAAAAGTCACTACTGTATTTGTAAAACTGAGCACAGTTTTACAAATACAGTAGTGATACTGGGCATTGTGCTACATATCTGTAATCCTAGCTGCTTTGGAGGAGGGTCGTAAGTTCAAGGTCAGCCTGGGCAAGTTAGCCAGATCCTGTACCAAAAGAGCTGAGGAGGTAGCTCTTTGCAAGATCATAGAGCCAGTTCCTAGTGGATGGAGTGGGGACACAAATTACAGAATGCACTAGTCAGCTAGTCTGGAAGGACCTCCTCTATCATGGAGCTTGCAAAACCCTAGAAAAGAGAGTCACTGGTCAAACAATCCTGTAAGTAAGCGGAACACCACCTGAGAAGTGTTACAAAATGCTAGGAGAGCGTGTGAGGCTGCCAGGAAAGCTGCAGAGGGCTTTATAGAGCTGGTAACACAGACTGAGACTGAAGGACAAGTGGAAATGGCAGAGCAGGGAGGGAAGGAACTTTCCAGAGGGAGAAGCGGCGTGTGCTGTCAGAAGCTGTGTGGTGGGAAGGAGCAAGGTAACTGCAAGGAACCAAAAGAAATCCAGGGTAGCAAAGAAGATGCAAGAGGAAGCAGGCACAGCAGCAGCGGAGTTGTGCAGGTGGGCCCTGGGGGTCTCAACAAAAGGCCACAGCAGTCTGCAGGCAGAGGCTTCAAGTAGAGCTTAAGAGGAGAGAAGCTATTGGAAGACATTTTGGAAACATCCTCCAGCATTTAGGAAACATCAGCGAATGAAAAGAACATTATGGTAGATTAGAAATCACACAGTGGGGAGGAGAGGAGGCCTCAATGACTCTGAAGTTTCCTGACTCACATAAACAGCTGGACACTGGTGACGGTGAACTTTCCAATGGGTACCAAGACCCACAGCAGTGCCTCAGATACAGCGCTCAAGAGAGAGGTGTGGAGCGAGGCTGTAAGTCTATGTGATCTGCATATGGCCACCAGCCTGGGTCACCTCCAAGGCAGTACTCTCAACCCCGCATGTTCTTGGTCCATTCTGTGCTGTTCGAGCAGCATGCCACGAACTGAGGAGCTTACACAGAGCTGCCAGGAAGTCCAAAAGGGCTGGGCTACCCTCAGTGAGGCTCCACGTGGCAAGTAAGCAACGGATGGAGGGAGAGCATGGAGCAAGACAGGGCTGAGCTCACATTCACAACACATCCACTCCAAAGATAACTAACCCACTCCTCAGTCAGTGACACTAATCCACTCACCAGGGCAGGGGCTTTGGGACCTTATTGTCCCTCATGAGATCCCACTTCTCAACACTGCTGTATGCACAGGGGCTAGGTTTCCAGCACAAACTTGTTTAAAAATGAATGTTATGTTTGCAACTCAAAATGGTTATAATCATGTTGGAGCACGCACGTGATTATTTTCCATTCCTTTACCCCTCCTCCCTACCTTCCTTTTACCCCAATCCCATTCCCCATTTCCAAAAGGGCTACCTTTTTGCTTCCTACCATCTCTCTTTGACTTTACATTTTTATTTATTTATATTTTATGTTTCTCACATGTGAGAAACCCATGCTATATTTAACTTTCTGTGTCTAACTTATTTATTTGTCATAACACTGTGGTCTCAAGTGCCATTCATTTTCCTAAAAAGAACATGACTTCATTCTTTACAGCTGAAAAATATTCACTTTGTGTGTACACCATTTTTATTTATCTATCTGTCTTTTGATGGGCATCAAGGTTACTCCACAGTTGCTATTGCCAGTCTACAAAGGACTGAGGACTGAGGCCAAGAGACACCAATACCCCACTCTTAATTAATTGGGAAGGTAGGATCTTGTGACAGACTCACACAAAACATCTCCTATACACAGAAGACATCCCTGAAGAATAAGAAACAAATCCATGAGGCAATAGAGGAAATGAAATCAGAAATAATTCCTCAGGTAAAAAAGGAAATGTCAATCTTTATAAAGAAATTGATCAGCAAATCTAGAGATACATTTTAAAAAATAGATGATAACAGGAAAAGGATGGAAACCATGAATGATCCCATACTGGAAAGAACCA